GTAAAAATAGCTTGGGAGGCTATCTTTACCGCTCGCCGTAAAAATAGCCACTGCGTATATTATATGGCTGCCGTTACTCCTACCCCGGGAGGGAATACCATTTTCTTATTCCCCCACCGGCCACTGGTGGGATTAATATCAAAATGTTCACCACCCCCCCCCGGGTGGGAGTAGAAGAAAATGTAATTATTCCCACCCGGGTGGGAATGGAAGATAACTAAATGAATTTAATTTATGTCCTTGTGAACCTTCAGCTATTTTTTGATTAAGTTGTGTGTGTTCTTGTGCACATGATTTAGTTTTGGAAGAGGCTAGCCGTATTTGTATTTCAGACAAAACCAAAAGGTGCCTTACTGACTTGCATGTATTTGAACCTGAATAATAACTAGATCTAGATCTCATGAGACCTGTGTACTTAACAGGATTGAGTCGATTGGGCCAAACCTAGATCTAAGTACGGCTAGACTGGCAGTCTAGTGCTAGCCACTTCGTTTAGTTTTATACATTTTTCATATTTTGGGCCTATTTCTTTGCTTTCAATGAGATTGATTTGATATGACAGAAAACATTCAAAAATGCTAAAAGTGACATTCTTTCCTGTTAGCATTAGCACTCTCGTTTCAATATGTGCTCAATATTTGCAGACCCAGCATAAAATTATAGAGGCATTCTTTCTAGATCTAGATCTAGATCTAGGTAGGCCCCAGTACTTAGCTCTGCTAGATCTAGATCTAGTGGAAATATGTCTAGTTCTCACCAAATGTTTAGAGGTCGGCGTTCAGCCTGTATTACATCTTATAAAACTAGATCTACATCTGGATCTTGGCAGATCCTAAATCTACTACTACTATTACTAGATCTAGACTTTTTGTAGAGGCTTGCGGTTGCGAGATAATCTTGAAGGCCTATCTAAAATGTTGCCATTGGAAAGATGAAAAGTGACCCGACCCGGGTGGGAATAACAAAAAAAATAATTATTCCCACCCCAACTCACTTTGATGGCCTCTATACTAGATCTAGATCTATCTAGATCTAGATCTAGATTTTCTAGATCTAGATCTATATTATATTCATAACTTATAATGCAGGAAGAGACATCTAGATTCTAAATCAAATAAAATGAAAACAATATGTAGATCTAGAATCTAGATCTAGATCTAGATTTAGTAGCTAGACTCTATTCATAATCCTAACCAAATCTAATTTTGAGAGGAGTAGCTTCAATAAGTTCCCGTATCCTGTCAAATTACTTTTAGATCTGAGAATATGGGAATGTACAAAGTCCATTTCATGGATACATTGATATGATGAAGTCGACGAAGTTGCATGAAAACAATCAACACAAAGTAAAGTCAATATCTTATAATATTTGAAAAATGCATCAAATCACTAATATTACTTAAACATCGACATTTCAAACTGAATCGTTACTTAAACTTCTGCAAGGAAATCTATTTTCTAGGCTAACTGCTAGCCTACTAAAGTACAAAATTATATTATTCATCAAGACAAACTTCGATCAGCTGATCAAAAGAGAGGACCACTCAGAAACATAAATTTTACACTAGATAACTCTAGGCCTACTCTAGATTCTATCCATTCTGTGCCCAGGAACAAAAATTACATAAAACGGTAGTTCAAGATGCAGTGCTACCAGTAAGAAATTGTAGGACGACTTCGTCAGTCCGGAGACTGAAGGTTCAGTCAAAGCCCAATGGAATATTATTATTTTTATTATTCATGATAGTGTTTCTATTTAGCTGGCTTACGAGGTAACACCCCCCCC